GTTTGGCCCAAACCCAAGTTTATTATTTTGTTATTTATATTATTGTAATTGGGATTGAAAGTTTAGTTTTGATGAAGGAAAGATTATTTTGGTTGTTGCAGAATTCTCTTGTCTTCCTCGTTCTCTCCTTCTTCTCCATATTTCCCCTCTGTGATCTCTCTTCTTCTCTTTCTTGCTACTTCTCAATTTATCTACATCAATTCTTGGTATCAGAGCTAAAGCTTGGAATTCATTATTAAAATAGCAGAAACTGTAATTGTGTCGTCCCATTCATCCATCTGTCGATCAATGTTCTCGCCACCAGCAAGCAGTTCATGAGATTCTACTTAATCAACGTCCCAGAGCACTTCACTTTCCAGTACTTGCACAAAACCACCACCAGTATCCCATTAACATAACGTAATCAAAGTCGAATATCTGCAACAGCCAGCATCAACAATTCAAGCAGTAGTAACCACCGTCTTCCACCTGTAACTGCCACCACCGACCCACAACGTCCTATATTTCTTCTAGCCACGTTCTTCCAATAGTCATTCACACACACAAAAAGAAAAAAAGAACAAGAGAAAAGATAAATGTCAAACACCCCACGACTTCATCCAAAAAACCCACTATTTAAAACTACCACAACACCCACTCACAGAAACCACAACCCAAAATCAATAAAACCATGCAACCAGTCGCCACCGTCGTATAATCCTCCCAAACCCAGTTACCATCTTCAACCCACAAATTACGGTTGAAACACTCACATACAAAAACTGCACACTTCCCAAGACCCATCTTGCGCATAAACGAACCCCTATCTCACACCACTACCAACAACAAACACACGTCACAACCACCAAAATCGCTTCCATTATCCAGATTTCCTCAAAGCCCCATCCAAACCTCTGTCGCCAGTCAAAACCCAACATACAGCGACCCATCTCCCTCTTCGGATTATTTCTTGCGCAACCTATCAGTTCAACCACCATCTCGCTCCAACAAGACCGCCCACTTCCACAATCGCAAGTCTCGATTCCAACCACCACTAGTAATCCCTCACAATCGGCCACCCATACTTACCAAGCCGGTCGTTGGTTTCCTACATCCTTGCGACGCCGCCACTATTATTACCTCTGTCCACATTCACGCAGACAAAAAGATAACTATTGGGATCAATTTCACGTGAGGCTAGAGTCAAAAATTAATTACCTACTGTAATTCTAGAGTTTTGTTTGGGCTTCAATATATAGCATGTATTTAGTTTTGCTTGGGACACTGTTTATATCCCTGTTTCTAGCTCATTTGTTCAATTAGTAGTTTTATTTAACAAAAAAAAACAAAAAAAAGAGGACAGAAAAGAGAAAGTAAAAAAAGAGTTATTTTTCTAACATCATTTTTCAAGTACCTTTTTCGTTCCAGTTGACTGGACACAACTTCTTCAAACGAACGAAAGGGAAGTCATTGTTTTAATTTATCCTCAGTTATATCATTGTTTATCTTGAATTGCATCAATTAACTTTTGTGCTGGAATCCTTACATAAAATTCACATGACTAGCCCCTATACCCGTTAGATCTCTTGACTTGTCATATTTTCACCTTTACCCCCATTTATTTTACGTAATTATGTCGTTGACTAATGTTTGACCCTTGCTTTATTATTCTACATAGATCGGCAGTATCAGCTTGACACATTTGAATTTTCATAATCCCAAAAACATAAAAAATAAAATAAAATAAAAAATAAAAATAATTTGTTTGTTATTTTTATTTCTTGAACTAGTTGTGATCTCGTTATTCACTGCAGTTAGTTAGTGTCACATTGCATGCATTTGCGTAGCGGTCATTTTGTCGTACCCAATTCCAATACTGTGACCATGGACCCTTCTCAATTTGATGCCCTTACTCAACAATTAGCTTAACTATAGGCTCAATTAGCAACCGTCCAAACTGAGGAGACTGCTACACGTGAAGAGAGTAGAGAACTAGCTACTATGGTGAACAATTTAGAATAAACCTCTCCCTCAACTGACGCTAATGATTCTGAAGCGTCTCATAACATACCCTATCGTCATCAACGTGATGGTTGACAACGTGTTCGTCATGGACGAAAGAATGGGGAACAGAAGCGCAATTATGAACGAGACCATGACCATTATGGTATTCATTCACCTCCTCGCTACGAGGAGCGTTACTTTCGAAACATCAAATTAGATGCTCCTACTTTCGATGGCTATTTAGATCCTAGAGTTTTTACACAATGGATTAGAGACATGGATCGTTTCTTTTCATGGTATGGATTCCTAGAGGATCGAAGAGTTTAATTTGACAGTATGAAATTAACTGGTACTGTCCAACTCTTTTGGAAAAGCATTGAGGATCTTCTTGAGAGGCATCATGCACCTCCCGTTGGAAGTATTTGCCCCACTCTTATAGGAGCAACTTGTTGGACCACTGGAATACCCTTACACAAGGAAACCGTCCAGTGACTGACTATGTTACCCAATTTGATGAGCTCTGAATGCAATGCCACGTCGTCGAGGATGAAGCTATGGCTTTAAGTAGGTTTAGACGGGGCCTAAGAGACGATCTTCAACGTGAGCTTGTCCTGCAAGGTGTCACCACTCTCGATCACGCTTATTCCTTGGTTCAAGATTACGAGTCGATTACTAAAACTCTGTATGGAAGGCGTAGTGATAACCATCCATCCATCTCATCGGTACCACCTCCTCCCGTCAAATCTCTTCTAGGACCTCCACCGTCTAACTCACTCCCTGCTTTAGACAATAAAGGTAAAGCTCCTGAAATTTCAAGAACTTCTTCTCGTTTGCAATGCTTCAATTATTAGGGCTTCAGCCATATCTCCTCTAAATGTCCGAGTTGAACCTTAGTTATTGACGAGCGGAAGGATGTCATTGATGAGACTTTAGAAGACCAAGTCTATGAACCTAACTTTGAAGAGTTTGATGATTTGGGTGATAATGAGGATACCTTCTTAGGTTGTCTTCGTGCCCTTCCTGTAGGTCTAAGTTCTGTTTCCCTGGCCCCCGACACCACTCGGTTGAGTGTTGTACGTTGTACCCTTACCCAACCTAAATATGTCGATGATTGGCGCTGTCATGCCATTTTTCATACTTACATCAAGATCAACAATAAGGGTTGTAAGATTACTGTTGACAGTGGGAGTTGTATTAATGCGGTCTCTGTGACCATAGTGTCCCGTCTTGGGTTGAAATCAGCCCGCACCCCCAACCGTACAGTGTCTCTTGGGTTGACACTTCTTCTATAGCTATGAAAGAGCGTTGTCTGGTACCTATCCAGTTCCTTGAGTATAAGGATCATATATGGTGTGGCGTCATCCCTATGGATGTCGGACATGTCATTCTTGGTCGACCTTGGTTGTTCGATCTGGATGTAACTATCCATGGGTGATCAAATTCATATTCCTTTGTATTTAATAGAAAGAAGATTTACCTTAATCCTTTACCATCAAAATCTGTTGACTTACACTAAGCCAAAAAAATTGTCAAGAGGAAAGGATTACATGTGATTAGCCCTACAGAATTTGAACGGACAATCGTAAATGACTCAATCGTATTTGCTGTGATTGTTATGGAATTCCCATCCGATTCACCACTAACAACCCCTACTAAAGCCCAATCATTCATTCAAGAATTTAAGGATGTATTTCCTTACGACCTCCCTGATATATTGCCTCCCTTACGGGATATCTAACATGCTATAGATCTGGTTCCAGGTTCGTCTCTCCCAAATTTACCTCACTATCGAATAAATCCTGCTGAACATGCCGAGCTCCAGAGACAAGTGGGTGAACCCCTTCACAAAGGCTTCATCCGTGAAAGCTTAAGCCCTTGTGCAGTTCCCGCTCTTCTCACACCTAAGAAGGATGGTTCTTGGAGGATGTGTGTTGATAGTCGCACTATCAATAAGATCACCGTCAAGTATCGTTTTCCCACCCCTCGACTTGATGATATGCTAGATATGATGGCCGGTGCCACAATCTTTTCCAAAATCGATTTGAAGAGTGGATATCATCATATTCAGATTCGCCCAGGGGACGAGTGGAAAACTGCATTTAAAACGAAAGATGATCTATACGAGTGGTTGGTAATGCCTTTTGGACTAACCAATGCTCCAAGTACTTTTATGAGGGTGATGACACAGGCCCTTCGGCCTTTCATGGGCAAATTCATTCGTATACTTTGATGACATTCTCGTGTACAGCAAAACAAGGGAACAACATCGAGATCATCTCACGCAAGTTTGCTCTACACTGCGTGCAACAAGTTTGTATTCCAATGTGAAGAAATGTTCTTTCTTCATGGATAGAGTTGTGTTTCTCGGGTTCATTGTTTCCACTACGGGAGTATCTGCTGATCCTGCGAAGATTCGGGCAATTGTTGATTGGCTTGACCCCAAGAACATACATGATGTTAGGAGTTTTTATGGTTTAGCTACATTTTATTGTCATTTCATCAAGGGATTTAGTACAAACATAGCTCCTATCACAGAGGGTATGAAGAGAGGAGAATTTCATTGGACGCAGGAAGTGGCTAAAGCATTTCAGTTAATCAAAGAGCGAATGATAGAGGCTCCTGTCATGCGACTCCCAAAATTTTCCAAAGTTTTCGAGGTTAAATGTGATGCGTCGGGAGTAGGAATAGGTGGAGTCTTGAGTCAAGAACGCCATCCTATTGCTTATTTTATTGAGAAAGTAAATGATGCCTAGCAACGGTACTCAACTTATGATAAGGAGTTGTACGTAGTTGTACAAGCCTTGCACTATTGGTATCATTACTTATTACCCCACGAATTTGTCCTCTTTTCAGACCATGAGGCCCTTCATTTCCTTAATTCCCAGAGGCGATTGAATTCTAGGCATAGCCGCTGGATCGAATATTTGCAGGCCTATTCTTTTGTCTTAAAACATAAAAAGGGTGTTGAAAATTGAGCTGTTGACGCTTTAAGCCGTCGCATCTCCTTGTTGTCCGTCATGAATGTTAAGGTCATAGGGTTTGAAAGGCTTAAGGAAGAGTACGAGTCATGTTCCGATTTCAAAGACATTTTTCTTACTTTGCAAAATGGGGAGTTAGATACCACTGATGGTTTCCGTTTGGAGGAGGGTTATCTTTTTAGATCCAATAAGTTGTGCATCTCAAGGACCTCAGTGCGAGACTTTATAATGTGGGAAAGTCACGCTGGCGAGTTGGCTAGACATTTTGGGTGTGATAAGATCATAGTGGAGGTTGAACGTCAATTCTATTGGCCCAATTTAAAAACAGATGTGGTCAAGATTGTTGGCACATGTAACACCTGGCAGCGTTTTAAGCAAAAGAGGCAGAACACAGGCCTCTACACGCCTCTCCCCGTCCCTAGTTGTCCTTGGCAAGACGTTAGTATGGATTTCGTGCTAGAGTTGCCACGTACTCCAAAGAAACAAGGTTTTATGTCTCATTTGGCTTGTATATGGATTTGACCTAAACTCAAGTTTATTATTTTGTTATTTATATTATTGTAATTGGGATTGAAAGTTTAGTTTTGATGAAGGAAAGATTATTTTGGTTGTTGCAGAATTCCCATGTCTTCCCTCGTTCTCTCCTTCTCCCTCTTTCCCCTCTGTGATCCCTCTTTCTTCTCTTTCTTGCTACTTCTCAATTTATTCTCTATCATCTGGACTAGCATCACAACCCAAGAATATAAAAAGTCATTGATTTAAGAATCAGACATAAGAAATCAAGGATATGCTGGAGATTAAGGATAGGTAGATGATCCCACACCGAATCCCACTATGACATTTGATGTCTTCATGCAAACTAAAACCAAAGATGCTAAATGTACAAGGAAAATGCCAAGGAAATTGTCAGAATGTCAAGTGGCAGATTTTCGTTGGACTTTGCTTTAAAAAAAAAATATTTAAAACGGCTAATCAAAATCCACCACATCAACTATTTCCCTAGAATTTTCCCTATACAAACAGCTTTATTCAACTAACGGTACTAAAAATTAATCAAAATCCACCACCTGTTCCTGCACTTTTGTAAGGTAAAAGACAAAAAATTCTAAAAGCAACACAGGTGAAGCCAAAATACCTAACAGCATATGAAATCCACCAACCGTGTTTCCTGGCAACGAGAGGTAAATTGCAAAGAAAATACTCTTCAAACACCTTGCATGCCTACCCTTTTCCTGTCAAAATCAATATCCAGCCACCACTTGAAACTTGCCTCGTATCGATTTTTGAGAATAAGCTCATAAATTTCTATCTTATTTACGAATAAATAATTTGAAAAACTTGCACTTAGGTTCGAAAGATCAAAAAAAGGATGTTGAAAAGTGATATCTATACTTAGAATAAGCATGTTGAATAATAATTAAAAAAAAAAAAATTGCTTTACCAAGTCGCCTTGGAAAAGTCTGCTGACTGTCAGAGACCCAATGGCACATTTATCATCAAACATCTATGGTGTATTCAAGTACATCAGCTCCTTCATGGAAATTTGGTGGTTCATTTCATTTTGACAAAAACTATTTTAGGACATATCAACAAGAAGGTGGCTCTCTCCGAAATCTTAATCCAACCAGAGATTTTGCTTATGTTCGTTCGATATGACAAAGAGAGTCCTGACAGTGTTTACAGTGGCGATAGTGGTATGACACGAAAATTGAAGAAGCGATTAAAAGAAAATACTACTCGTGGGCTAAGGTTCATCCATATGTTCTACTCCCATGCGTATTTGATTGTGTTTAAAAGTTAAAACTCATTTGTAAGTTACTTATTTTGTGTAACATGATCTTTTAAGTTACTCTTAACATAATAAAAAGTCACAGATGAAAACTAAAAATTCTGTAGTTTCTCTTTGGGTGATGAAATTCGGAAGTACAGAAATTAATACAAACCATTGGAAGTAATAAGTTTTTTGGCTGAGCAACAGACACAGTAAATTTAATAGTACTTGGCTGTATTAAGAAAGAAAGGATAGTTAAAATGTCATACATGTACCTTGCAATCTTATCTACTACGCCTATCAAACAAACACCAGGGGTGTAAAATGTGAATTACAGTGAATTCCGTCGTCCTTGAGTTCTAATGACGTCTGCAGGATTTTGCTCTAATGAATAGATTTCCCAGCCTCCATCCCGCCAAAATGTGTAATATACTTCAGGAATATGGGCAACTTTGCAGTAATCATCACCTAGTCTGCGAGGATCCATTGTCATGATAAATTCATCTGGCATGTCGAAAAATTCAACAACTTTCAGTTCAATAAGGTGCTCAATTCCTTGAGGAATCCTTTCTAGCAAGTTACATCTCTGGATAACTAGTTTTTCGAGATGAGGCATTGCTCCCTTCTCAACTATTACCCTCCTTAGAGGTTCTAGTTTGTCAAAATCTAATAGTTTAAGCCTCTGAAACTTTCCAGCCTTGAAACAGAGTTCTTCTCCAGTAAAACCCACAAGAAATTCAAGATGGACGAGATTTGGCAAATCTTGGAGATACTGAAGCGGATCATCCCTTAACTTACTCCACCTGAAGTACACTTTTATGAGGTTCTGAAGAGATCGTATCCAGATTGGAAACTTTTCTATGCATCCTGTCAAGTATAATCTCTGAAGAAAAGGGGGAGGAGAAGACAGATATTGAAGATCGAGTACCTCGTTTTCTCCTGTAGATTTTAAGTTCAGTGAACGAAGATTATGGAGCTTTTCGATGGATGAGCAGATGGCCATTCCATCTTCCCTTCTCAATTTAGTTAGGCACAGTCTCCTTAGTTCTGTCATCATCGATATTTCTTTAATCGTATCACTCCCACAGCTAGCCTCCATGTAGCCCAGTTTTCGTAAGGATATCAATCCTCCTATCCCTTTAATTGCCTTAAAACCATCTGTGCAATCATAAGGCAGATACGAGTATACTACATGACGATATAATAATAGATGGCTAAGACGATGGAGCTCTAGGATCTCAACAGGCAACTCGGTTATATAAGTCTGCTTAAGGTCCAATGTCTCTAGCTTTTTGAGCTTCTTGATAGATCCTGGAAGAACTTTCACTTTCGTATTTCTCAAGCTCAGGTGCCTTAAATGAAACATTGTGAAAATTGCCTTTGGAACTGTCATCAAGGGAACATCTTTTAAAGATAAAACTTTGAGCATCCTAAAGCTGCTCAGCAACTGAAGAATGTTCAGCATGGATTGGAGATCTGTGACACCAAAGGTAAGCAAAGAACGGACTCGAGTGCCATAGGTTCCTTTTTTTGCATGTTCCAAGGCGTTGTGTATTGATAACCGTCGAACCCTGCTAGGCCACATCATCTTCTGTTCACTGGCAGTTGTAACAAAATTCTGTTCTCGTGCCTTTGAAAGAATGACCTCCCTATACAAGTCATGGATCTGTCCATATTTCAAACTTCTATCATCATTGGTCTTTACCATAAAAATCAAGCTTCTGTTGATGAGCTCATTAAGATATCCTTCAGCAACTTCTTCCACTGTCCTACCCTCTTTTTGCTTCACAAAACCTTCCGTTATCCATAGTCGAATCAGGGTATTGTGCTCAATCAAGTGATCCTCTGGATAAATGCTTAAATACAGGAAACATGGTTTTAGATAGTATGGCAGATCGTTGAAACTGAGCAGCAAAATGTTTTTCATGCTCTCAAGTTCATCGTTGTCTTCTAATTCTGGCTGAAGACTGTGATTGAGCATTTCCCATTCACCTACTCTCGATGTGTTCTTTGTTGCCAAAAGCCCACCGATGGCCACAATTGCCAGTGGCAAACCCCCACAATGTCTTAAGATATTTGAACAGATTTCAATCAAATGATGAGGACATGAGTTCCCCTGAAATGTCTTTCGGCAAAACAAAGTCCATGACTCCTCCTCGGACAACGGCTTCAACTCATACACGAATCCATCAGTTTCAATGCAAGATGAGGATGCCACGTTAATGAGCCGTGTTGTGAGGATAATACGGCTTCCATGGTTCTCTTTGGGCAGTGCATATTTGATGGCTTCCCATGCTGGAATGCTCCATACATCATCAAACACAAGCACGTACCTTCTTCCACGTAGGAATTCTCTGATAATTTCTTTTAGCCTATTACTGTTCATGGAACCGATTCCTTCAGGTAAGGGTTGCTTGATTTCATCAAAAAGTTGCTGAATTGTGTCTTTTAGAAGATCCTCGATCTTAAACAACTGAGAAACAGTTAACCAGGCATGGCTCTGGAAGTGTTTCTTCACTACAGAATCATCGAACACTCTCTTAACCAGAGTGGTTTTCCCCAAACCTCCCATCCCAACTACTGAAATCAATTTAAGTCTTGGATCCTCCTTCATAAGCAACCGAATCAGGCTCTGTTTATGGTGGTCGATGCCCACAAGCTCACCTTCTTCTAGTAGAAGCGCATCTCCGCGACCATCAGTCACTGAATAGTCTACAAAACTTGAACTTGAGCCTTGCTCTTGAATACTCAATTTGTAATGATATCTCTGATGTCCTTCTGCAATATTCCTCAATCTAGATATTATGCTTCGTATTTCAGAGGCAACCTTACGAGTGGATTTAAACTTTTTGATAGAAAAATATAATTCACCAAGAAAACCATGGATCCCATGCCTGCCATGATCATGTGTAGAGCGGAGCAAGAACACATCGATTACATCTTCTGTGTCATAAGCCATTTCTCGCACCTGTTTAAACCAGACTTTTAGCTCTGGATCACTCTCTTCAAAGCTATCAGCAACTCTGAGGAAAGCTGTCATCCTCTCAAGTTCATCCCTGACAAATTCGAAATCCGTCCTGACTCCTTTGAACAATTTTACCTTTTCAATCGATAAGACTGTAAGCTTTTCAATCAGAAAATAAACTGCAAACTCAGCCATTCCTTAATTTTTCAGAAATATTCCCCTGAACCTCTTTTCTGGGATTCTAATCACTGAATTTTATGCAGGGTTGGGCTGAGTACTTGTTGGAAAAGCTACTAACTTCATTATTATGAAGCTGTAGTAGATTTGTCGTTTGTGGTATATACAGGTGACTTGAACGTGTATTTCCTATACAATTATGACAGAAAGCCCCAGAAATTCCTGGCTGGAAACTGATTAAAAAGAGGAGATTACTTGGTATTGACATATATTTCAAGTTAAAATGTCGTATTCGAGAGACCATTCAATCCACAAATGTCATATTCCGTAAACCTGGTCAACGAACGTCTTCGTATAATTTAATATGAACTCAAGTTCGAAAGTCAGAAATTTATATTGTTGAAAAGTGATGGGTCTCCCACCATTATATGTATTTTATGAGAAAACTAGCTAATCACGCTGATGTGTTTTGATTCTTCCAACCTACCACAGTTGGCATGACCAAGAGCATGATTGTCTATGCTTAAAATGTTATTCATAAGCCCTTTCACTTATCAAACTCCACTAAAAAATTTCAATCATACATTTCATCAATTTTTTATCAAATTCTACTAAAATTTTTATTTTAATCTAAATCAAACTAGGACTAAATTTAACAGAACGTGTTGTCGATGTAGGCAAGAAGAACAAGAGAGTGACACTATGTGCTTGTCTCTGGGATTTCATATTGTACCATAACAAATATGAAATGAATTAAGCTACTTGTATATCATGGATGACGTTCCATAATGTGTAAAAATCTGTCAACCATGATATATGTGTAACAAAACTGGAATGACATTATGCTCAAGTCTCATGCTTGTTTACTCTTCAGATGAGTAGACCTTGATGAAATCCACTGAGTTTAAGTTGATAGGCATGTAGGTCAAACAAATTGCTTCATCGTTGACATCTTGTTATATCTATCTATGAATAATGTACAAAAGTTAAAGATTTGACGAAAAAAGATAGATTACTTAAAACAAATAAATTTATCATTTCCAATTAGGGCTGGAAAAAATTTCTCGAACCGAACCCGAACCAAATCGAACCGAACACGACGATTCTTCGTAAGTTAAATATCCGAATAGGTATCTGAATAAAAAATCGACAAATATGTTTTGGTTCTCGATTCTAAACCAAGAATCGAAAAATCAAATCTTCCTAATTTCTTTTATATTAAATAAATCAAATTATTTTAATTTTTTTCTAAACAAATTAACTAATTAAGTGATTGATTGATACTCCATGTCCCAAACCCTAACCCAACTAGCTTGACCTAATTCAACCAATTTCTAAATCCAATTTTTAGGCCCAATTATTTGTTTCATTTCATGTCATTTTTTATTTTTAGCCAAGTGCCCAACATCAAACCCTTTTTATTTTTCCATTTTTAATTGTGCCTTTTTAATTTTTTCTGTAGAGTTTCTTCATATGACAAGTAAAGCAATTAATGATTAAATCAAAGAGCTAATAAATATTAGTAATACTTTTATTTCTATAACTTCTAATTCAAGAATTTTTTCATATAGACTTGAAAGTTAAAACAAATGAATATGGATCACCAATATTTTAATATTAGTATCTACTTTTTATTATTTGCATATGTTGGTAAATTAATCTTATTGAACAACTTGTCATTTATATGTTTTTGAATTGGTCTTCATTAATTTGTAAAAGCTATGATTGAATATGTTATTAATTATATTTATGTAATGTTGTTATAAATGTTAAAAAATATAATTATAGTATGAATCCGTATAAAATCGAACTGAACCGATTCAAATGGAATCGAACCCAAACGATTCCATAATTATATTTGGACCCAATAATGAGTAAATTTAACCAATAATCACTGAACTTTACACTTGGTTACTATTTGCTCACTCATTTTTCACGGGTTACTGAATGCTCACTCATCTTTTCATATAATTACTCATTCACCACTCGTCTCTTCAAATAATTGGGCGACTTTTGCGGCAACTTTCAACCACAAAGAATGTCGAATTTTGATATCATTGAAAAGCTCACAATGTCCTCTTCAATTACCACCCAAAATCTCATTATAACTCTAAGGGATTCAATCGAAAAATTACCTTAAAAGTCGCCCAAAAATTCTGAAAATCTACCCAGATTTTCAAATTATTTAGGCGACTTTTAAGGTAATTTTTCGGCAACTTTCGACCATCAAAACTATCTAATTTTGATACCATTGGAAAGCTCACAATGTCCTCTTCAATTACCATCCAAAATTTCCCGATAACTCCAAAAAATTCGATCGGAATAAACCCACAAAATAAGCATTCTGAACTTTGTCCAGATTTTTACCTTTTCGAAATGCTAACTTTGTTGATTTATTCCGACCGAATCCTTTGGAGTTATCGAGAAATTTTGGATGGTAATTGAAAAGAACATTGTGGGCTTTTCAATGGTATCAAAATTCGATAGTTTTGATGGTCGAAAGTTGCCAAAAAATTGCCTTAAAAATCGCCCAAAAAATCTGAAAATCTGGGCAGATTTTCAAAAAATTTGGACAACTTTTAAGGCAATTTTCCGATCGAATCTCTTGGAGTTATAATGAGATTTTGGATGATAATTAAAGAGAATATCGTGAACTTTCCAATGATATCAAAATTCAACATTCTTTGTAGTCAAAAGTTGTCGAAAATTTGCCGTAAAAATCGCCCAATTATTTGAAAATACGAATGATGAATGAGTAATTAAATGAAAAAATGAATGAACATTCAATAACCTATGAAAGATGGGTAAGTAAATAGTAACCAAATGTAAAGTTTAGTAATTATTGGTTAAATTTACTCCCCGATGATTACACTTACTTAATACCAGAAATTTTCAATTCAATTTGGTTCTCACCGGACCATGGCCAGCTCTATTTACAATAGCTAAATTCTAAAACCTTTTAAAGAATTGATTCATCGCCCAACTGATAGACATGTTACTTTTTAAAGATCCGTTGTAGCATCAAACAGTTCGCATGACCGTCATGAAGACTAACCAAACTAAAAAGACCAGTAAAACGTTAACAGATTAGACATAGCAATGTAAGTGGATGAAAAACAGTGTCATTGCATTCATTGTAACACACACAAAATCTACAATATAATACAAACCTACTAAATTTCGGTACAAAAACGTAGATCAGAACCCAGACTTTAACCAAACAAGAATTTAAGAACAGATAGAACCATACACCAACTTAGCCAAACCAACTTACTTGTCAGAAATCTTTGAAACTCCATTTCAAACCATACCCAGTAAACATGATATACAGCTGATAAGCATGCAAGTGTGCATATTAGACTTTGATTCATAGAATATAACATAGGGAAAGACAACCAATTGAAGATGAATATTTAAGCAACACTAAAATATAGATTCCATTAATTTCCAGCGTTGAGAATAAACCTGAAATAGAATGTACACGAAAGCTCCTAAAAACCACATAACCCGACCAGACAAATTACTAAAAAAACACATCAGATGCTGATACCAGCGATTCGGCAGATCTAAGCCCGCTCACCCCTGATCCTCCTAGCAAGTTGGATATCCTTAGGCATAATAGTGACCCTCTTAGCATGAATAGCACAGAGATTGGTATCCTCAAACAGTCCAACAAGGTACGCCTCCGCCGCCTCCTGCAGCGCCGCAACAGCGGAGCTCTGGAACCGGAGATCAGTCTTAAAGTCCTGAGCAATTTCCCTAACCAATCTCTGGAAGGGGAGCTTACGAATCAAGAGTTCAGTGGACTTCTGGTACTTCCGGATCTCACGCAACGCAACTGTACCTGGACGGAACCGGTGGGGCTTCTTTACTCCGCCGGTGGCCGGGGCTGACTTCCTGGCGGCCTTGGTGGCGAGTTGCTTCCGGGGAGCCTTGCCCCCGGTGGACTTGCGGGCAGTCTGCTTAGTACGTGCCATTGAACGATTTGAGTAATACGACTTTGATTATAAATCTATAGAGATTTGAAGAGTGAATAAACGTATCGCAGAAGGGCCGTTGATTTATAGGGCCGGAAGGAGGCGGGTAGGGATTTTTGGCGGTGGTTTGAATTTTGGGGTTTGAAGGGTGTAGATGGGCCGTTGATCTGGAGTGGACGGTAGAGATTGTACTTAGGCATGGACATTTGGATTCTGATCCAAGTGAAGATTGGATAGCCAGTTACAGTTCCCCACGTGGAAAGTGTTTCTTTATGAGGTCTCTTGGATCATTTGCGCTTGACTCCTGAATCCCTGATGATAAAAATGTTATAAGCCCCGTTTGCCCCCATAATCCCAAAAGTTTATTTTTCTTTCTTCTTTTTAATCATACAATCTTCCATAAAATAATGCCCCCATTTGACCCTTATTTTTAGAAAATGAAAATGGGTGGAATAATATTTTTTTAAAAAATAAGTGACTGAAAAAGAATGAAAAGTTTTCGATTTACGTGTAATATTATTTTATGGAAAATTATGTGATTGAAAATACGAAAGAGAAAAATGGAATGTGATGTAATGAAATTTAATGGGGGGCAATATTACACATAATTGAAATTTTTTATATTTTTTCAACCATATATTTTTCAAAAAAATATTATTCCAAAAATTAAAATTGCCACGTAATGAAGGCTAAATGTATCAAATCTTTCATTTTTATGCACACTTGAATTTGGTTTTGGTTTTGGTTTTGGAGGGAAGGGCGTGGGGCAAAGAACCCTTTTTTCTCTTTTTCCTTTTTTTATATTTTATTTAACGAATATAGTTATTTTATATAGAATAATATAAAAGTACCATATTATCCATTTTAAATTGGTCAAAAGAGGTCAAACATTTTTTTAAGGACAACTAATTCTCAAACTACAGAAACCATCAATTTGGACTCTCGCGTGTTTGAAAAGTTTGGTAACGTGAGTGCAACACAAATTAAAGGTTTGGATTAAGTCTGCATAAAAATGAAAAATTTGGTACCATGAATGTTATTTAACATCAAGAGTGCGTTTGATTGCAAGTATAAAATTTGCATGGAAAGAAAATAAATTCTAAGCAATTCAATTGCCTCAAACTTATTTACCTGAAATTGTCAATTAAATGTATTTGATTGTTTCAATTTTTAACTTATAAAATATTATACTTGTCCATTTTTTATTAGTGAATAGATGAGAGAGCGAGATTGAATTCTGTGGAAAACAAAATCATACTTCTTCTAAAGAAAATATTTTCCTTAATTTTGAAGAAAATATGGTCACTTGACCGAAAGTATGAAATCTTTTGTATGGAAAAAATGTAAATCAAACAATACAAAAGTAAGAATTTTGGTGGAAAAAACACATTTTCCATTGAAAATATTGATAATCAAGCATGAATTTTACGTTGAAATAAAATAATTTCTAGGCAATTCAATTGGCTAGAAATTATTTGCATGAAAATTGTCAATTAAATATGTTTGATTGATTTTATTTTCAACCTGAAAAATGTTATACATGCCTTTTTTCTTTTTTTCTTTTTAGGTAAATGGAAGATAGAGGGACCATATGAGAGAGTGTGAATTATCTGAAAAACAAAAACATATTCCTCCTAAAGAAAATATTTTCCTTGAAAATAAGGAAAATATGGTCACGTGATCATAAATAGGAAATTATTTTCCATGAAAAAGATCAATCAAATAGCACAAAACGTAGGAATTTGAGTGAAAAATGACTGTTTCGCCCGGGTAGTCGCTAACAATTAAAAAGAAAATCAGAAGATTGTGTAAGGAACAAATCTCTTGAGACAAAGTCCCAAAAAGGGGTGTTTTATTGGCAATAACTTTACAATTGGAACTAAACAGAATGCCTCTAAGGGGCGCAAGCATACATGTACTAAAAAGAAATGTTTAAATTTAAACTAAGAAATTGAAATTACATATTCTCTGTTTGAGAGTGTTTGATTCGGGGTCTTCTTCTCTATGTCTTCTCTTCCTTTTATATTCCCTCGATGATTCCTTTGTGACAAATCGCTTGGGAACTACTTGATTGCTTCATAACCACCCACTTTCTTTATGGTGGCTAATTTGTCGTGGAACTGCCGTCTCTAACTGCTGCCACTACTCTTTGTCGTTCAACCTTCTTCAACTAAACTCCTTGAATCGTGGAACGTGATAAGGTTACTCAATAACTGCTTCAATAACTGCACTTCTGGATAACCATAACATCATATATTTGCTAATATCTTGGGTGATCCGAAAGTTTGGGCAATAACAGGACCATTGCTCTGGGCGACTGTAAGGCTCTTCATTCGCTCAGATCTTGGGCGTCTTGCAAGCTTGGGCAATGATGTTACCGTGTTCGTAGGCTTCCACTGCATTCATTAATAACCCTATCTGGGCCTTTATCCTGAATTCCCCAATTGGGCTATTCGATTTGGGCTGCACTTTTAGTGTGTCAACAATTACCCCCCAATATGGCAGAATTAATACAAATTATTAATCTTTGCCATATTTACTTTGTGTCTCCCAGCAACATTTGAAATTCCCAAGAATTTCAATCATTGTTTTCTTCCATAGCCTGAAAAAGTGCGACGCTACAAACCTTTATAAACGCCAAAGCACGCCATTTCGTTGTACCACTAAATCACGCATCATTATTTCGCGCTTCTTTCTCGCCATACCACTGTTCATCTTCTTGCTTCTCTGCTACGTTTCTCAAGCAAACTTTAACAAAATTGTATTTCGTCCTCAATGGCTGCTCCACAAACCCAATCTGACGACTCTTTTAGCTTCGAAAAGTTCCAGAAAATCCTCACTCGGCCATATGTAAATCCGAACTTCCTTGCACCGACCAATGCCGAACTTAATAAGTTCTATCTGGGTCCTTCATTTAACAACGCCGAAGCTGTTGGACAACTGGCGGTGGGCGAGCTGTTCCCTTGTACTCAAGGCCCTCCATTCCTGAACTCTTTGCCGTTGAGGCCGATTTGAGAAAAATGTATTCGCACTTGGCCTAAATCTGATGTTGTTTTTCGTAGATGGCATGCTCGCCTTGTGGGCCATGGTCCTACCAAGGCACTTTTTGATCATGCTAGAATTTCTAATTTATTAGAAATCTCCCTTCAACTCCCAATTTTTGACCCAGCACTTTTTCATATTGCTTTAAGTTTTTGGTCTTCTGAATATAATACTTTTGTTTTCCTTCTTGGTCTCATGTCTATTACTTTAAGGGATGTTGGGGCCCTGATAAATCTTTCACCTTTGGGCGACACCATTTTCCCTGGTATTTTAATTTCCGGTGTTGCCCCAAAATTTGACAAAAAACTCACTGAATCCTATTCAAGCCTGCAAGGCTGTTATAATCACTCAAACACTGAGCCTTCCCACGCTGAGCGTGTAGTCTTTCTTCAGATTTGGGTTTGTAAATATATTTTGTGTGTGCCCAGTATAAAGCCTTCTATAAGCTATTTACCCATAGCACACGAATTGGCGCGTGGTAGGCCTTTGAACTTGTGTTCCTTCTTTTTGGCTGCCCTTTATAGAGGCATGGCTTCTCTTCAATTTCAATTGAAGAATGGTGCATCTCTCACTGGCAGTGAGCCTCTTTGGTTCACTCAACTGTGGTTGAGAGCCTATTTTCCATCACTTGGTGCTCTATCCATGTCCCTTCGTTCTGCTAACTGCTATGGGCTAGCCATTGACCCATTGAGCCCTGTAAATATGTCCAAAAGGGACATTTTTTCATTCTTTTATACTTTAAATTTAATTCCTTCCTTTTTTCCCTTTCCTGCTCAGTTAACTCCAGATTATGTGCAACCTCTATCTACCCTGGACAGTGTGAGCGCTTCTCTGCTCGCTTGGGTTCAGTTTTTGACTGGGAGGGAGTTGTTCCATGATATTTTAACTGGAACCAATGCCAAAGCTGGGGTTGAAATAGATGCTCCCCAATTTTTTGCTCGCCAATTTGGATTTGGCCAAACTTGGCCTGTTCCCCCTTATTATTCAAAAAATTTGATAGACTGTTTTCACACCATTAATAAGGCAGAGGCACAAGCTATAGATGCTCGCAATATTCTTTTGACGAGTAACTTTTCATTAGCCCCCTTCAATCCTGGCCGTGCCATTCACCCCCTTTTTGAACAACTCTGGCCATCAGTGAAGCGCAGGTTGTTTGCAACTGATGCCAATCGTGCTTTCCATTCACTGGATAAGCCAAACATTCTTTCCACTTCTCCTATTTTGGTCACCCCTGTGTCCATTAGGAATCCTTTCTCCCCTGCCCGTGCTAAACAATCTGTTCGTCCCTCTACTTCTCTACCTGCCAAACCTACTACAGCTAAGAGTACCCCAAGCCGCAAACGGCCAGGTTCAGCATCTCCCATTTTGGATGATGATGATGATGACACTCCTCTCATCGTCTGGAGAAAGGTAATTGAATTCTGTTTACTCACAAGCATACATTTCTATGTTTTAATGGTTTTCTTGAATTTCTCAAAAAAGTTCAGCCTCTCTTTTGAAGGCTTTGGTGTTGGCAGATCCTGCTCCATCATCCTCTGCTAGAGCTGCTTCGTCCAAACCAGCTGATGAAGGGACTACGCTTAAAGAGAAACCTTTAGTCCCGGAACTTTCATCACAACCAATGGACGAGTCACCTTCTTCCCAGGGCGCCAACCCCCCAAACGTCGAACCAGAAGGTAATACATTTTTTTGATGTTTTACCTTTGCTTGTGCTATTTGTTTCTGATTTGTTGCTTCTTTAATCATGCAGAGGCTCCTATGGGTCTGCCCGTTGTGGCAGAGTCTTCTTGCCCAGACAAGGGAAAGTCTCCACAGGTGTTGGGGCCACAGGTGGTGGAGCCAACTGGTGATATGTCACCTCCCAAAATTGCTGATGAGGTAACCTTTTACTTCACTTTTATTTTCACTTTGTTCATTGTAGTGAAAACCTTCAATGTTGGCATTTTTCTTTGCAGGATGCTGATGAGATTGTGCGTTCCATCCGAGACTTGTTCAATTCCTGGGGGCAAGTCAAGACGTCTCGCC